TGAAATGTTTCTTTTTCTTTTCCCTACACTGAATCCATCCTAACTAATCCCTTCACCCTGGAGGTTTCAGCTACCAGAAACAAAAACAACAATAAAAAAAAAAAAAATGTAGTGGATGGGGCATAGAAGTAAAGAGGGAAATGAGAGGGAAAAGGAGAGTGTACCAAGAAAAGAGGTGTTAAGGAATGCATTCTGCATCAGCTCATCCTTTGTAAGATGTCACATCCTTTATAAGCCTCTGTTAAGTCCCACTTGCCCATTCAAAGGATAATATCCCAACTCTTCAGTCTGGCTCCTGAAGCCCTGGTGTTGGATTCTGTCCCATCCTCCTTCCCAACTTCAGGCCTTTGCTGTCATACCCTGATGGCACCTTGCATCCCTACCCACGCTGTTCTCTGTGTAGAGAGACCCCTCTCTTCCACCCGGTGATCTGCACAAATGCAATATCCAGCTCAAAAGTTTGGGATTAACATATACACACTACTGTATATAAAATAGATAACCAACAAGGACCTACTGTATAGCACAGGGAACATATACTGTATATTTTGTAATAACCTGTAAGGGAAAAGAATCTGAAAAAGAATAGATACATATATGTATAACTGAATCACTTTGCTGTACACCTGAAACTAACACAACATTGGAAATAAACTGCACTTCAATCCATCCATCCATCCATCCATCCATCCATCCATCCATCCATCCACCCCCTCCTCCCTGGGAAGCTTTCACTAACACTCTCAGGCAGAGCTGTCTTTTGTTGCCCCTTGTCCCGCAGCCTCCATCATCTGCCATTATAACCACAATTGTGTGCTGGCTTAGGAGCCCCTCAGGGACAAAGTCTCTGTTGATTTATTTGGTGTCACCAGCAGCTAATAGAGCAAGTGCTCAATGAATGTTTGGAGGCAATTAATTACTCAAACTGCGGCAGGAATTTTGATACAGCCTCTTCCCCATGGCCCCCTACCCTACATTCCACCAAAATGTCACGTGGGCTCTTCTCTATTTGTGCCTCTCGATGTTCTCCATCCTGCTGTATGTCCTAGGAGGTTGCTTTGTGACTGTCTCACCTGGGCTCCCTCACTTCAGGCTTTCAGTTGAATTTGGCCAGTGGGAGGCACCTACAGAAGAT